ATTTGACGACATGTTGACTATTGTGTTTGGAATACTAATTACCAAAATAATTATCGCCATATTAATAACTGATCGTGTTAAAAGACACAATTTATCATGATACCATATTGCTGACGTAAATATGAGCATGATGTTTATATGCTTAAAAACAAAATTTTGTCTCAAGGTCAAAACGATCTCCGTTCTTATATTTGTTTATATTTTAACATAAATATGTTCTATATTAGAGAAATGACATTTTATTGATGAAATAGATATAAATCAATAAATGACTTTTACTTGATTACATTTATATACAATATATAATTTTTTTAAAGATTTCAATATTTAATAAATCTCGATTATGTTTACATATTTTTGCTTTTTTTTTAATTTAGATATGGTGATATAGTGCCAAAAACTTGGTAAGTCAATAAAAGATAAAAAAAAAAAACGACAATTAATATTAATTAATTAATTAATCTAGGGCAGGCAAAATTGTTGGCGGTGTATGCAGTTTAAGTGGTGTACTTGTTATTGCTCTTCCTGTACCTGTTATTGTATCAAATTTTAGTCGTATTTATCATCAAAGTCAACGAGCAGATAAAATGAAAGCTCAACGAAAAGCACGTCTAACACGTATACGTTTAGCACGTAATGCAACAAGTAATGCATTTATTGCAGCTAAACGACGTCATGAACAATATCGTGATGATCCAAATGCTTCTGTTGATAAAAATCTTGTTAATCCATTTGAACTTCAACATCATCATTTACTTCGTTGTTTAGAATTAACAACTGTATGACAAAAAAAAAGAAAAATTCTTTCCAAAAATTGATTTTCTTTTTTTTATCTAGGATCGAGAATTTGTTGAAGTTGGTCCAGATACATTAATAACTAGTGGTGGTACAAGTATTGTTCCTGGTGGTCATGCAACTACTGCCATAAATCGTTTAAGTTTACCAGCTAGACATTTTATTTTAAATCGTCGAAAATGGCGATGTTGTGGAGTTGGAAGAAGAAAGAAAAATTCATATAAACATGATATTGTAAGTATCTCGTATCTTCGAAACGATTATCCAATTCCGATTAGAATATAAAAAAGTACGATTCAATTGGATTCGGATTCACTAATACTTATCAATCGAAAATAACAACACAAAATTCTTGGAATGCTTGAAGCTCGTTGTGCTAATTATTTCTTTAAAGAAAAAAAAAACAAAATATTAAAATTTACTCAACAAATTATGATGCTAGGACTAAAATAATCAAAAATTTCAGTTTTTTTCTGATTGCTGCTGAGTAGAGCCTACCGGGTGCAAAATTTTTTGGATCTGATGGGTTCTACTACTGATGAGGGAACTACCCGAGATGCTAAAAAAGCTTTTGAGCTCAAATTTTGTTCATAACTACGGTATGTATAGACTAGAAAAAGCCTAAGAAGATATTTCCTCAAGTTGTGATTTAGCTGAGATGCCGAGACTATTTACTATACTTTTTCTGTATAACCCTCTTTTTACCAATAAAATCAAAGTTTAAAATTTTTTCCGAGACAACAGTATGCTAAAATAGATAATATGTCCAAAAATTGTGAAACTTTGTAGATAAGCTAATCTAGTTGAGACCTTGATATAGGCAAAGTTTCAGGTCAAAATTTTAAACTTTAATTTTATTGGTACAAAGAGGGTCATACAGAAAAATTATAGTAAATAGTCTCGGCATCTCAGCTAAATCACAACTTGAGGAAATATCTTCTTAGGCTTTTTCTAGTCTATACATACCGTAGTTGTGGACAAAATTTGAGTTCAAAAGCTTTTTAACACCTCGGGTAGTTCCCTCGTGGATGTTAGTTGACATTTTTGAGTATTTTGATCCTAGCATCATGATTTATTGAGTAAATCTGAATCTCTATCGAAATGATCAGTGCGACGAGCTTTATAAAGTTCTACAGACGAAAAAAGATCTTCTAAGAATCTTTTGATTTTTACATCAAAAATACGATTTGCAAGTATTTTGTCATTGGTAGTCAAATTTTGGACTCGATGGATAGTTATTATTTTCAATTATTGATAGTTTTCATATCTAATTTTATTTAATTTTATTTTTTTTTGAAAGGATCGTGTTAATAATAGAAATTCAAATGCAAACGATGATGAAATTGATGAAGAACTCGGTGATTTTCCATTACCTATTTCAATAACACCACGTGATTCATTAACAATAAGTCAACCTGTTAGTACAACAACAACAACAACAGCAAATGTGATACAACATCAAACATTAGGTTCATCTTTACAACATAATGTTGTACTTCATTCCAATATACAAGAATCACCAGAATTAATAACACATCATTTTGATATAGATGATAATAATCAAATAAAACATCAACGAAATAATTTAATGACTGTTTATGAACAAAGTTCAACAAATGATTTATTAACAGATGATTCACAATATATAAAATCATCAAAAAATATTAGTAATATAATACAAAAAAGAACAACTGATGATAAACAAACGGTATGATAGTGAATATGACATTTTGCCAATATCCCTGTGTTGTTGTTGTTGTTGTTGTTGTTGTTGTTGTTTTTTCTTTATCTTTTTTGTTTTCTTTTTTTTTGTTTTGTTTTCGTCCTTGAACACACATACCACACATGAATATGCCATATATCTCTATGCACTCTAGTCACCTATCTTGCGCAAATCCCTGTGTGTGTAAATAAGAAATATTTCTTACTAATGACAATCATTGTCGAAATGAAAGAAAAATAAACAAAATTGTTTCTTTCTATTTTATTTTTATGTATTTATTGTCTTCTAAATTATTATTATTATTATTGCTTCCTTTTTCTTTTCTTTTTTTGTTTGTGTATATGTGTCTCAAATTATGAGAATTTTTTTTTTTTCTATACAATACAACGAAAATAAAAAAACAACACATAATTTTTTATTTTTATGTCAATATATAATTATTATATACAAAATTTAATCAGTTTTAAGACGTTTTGTATTATTTTGATTACTATCATCATCACCATCGTTTGAATTTGATCGTTTAGTTGTTTTAAACATTTCTTCAAGATAAGTTAAACGTTTAGTTTGTTCTTTTAATTTATTTTCGAGATTTAACCATTCTTTTTTTGGACGTGAAATCATTTCTTGATCTTGATTATCATTACTATTATCATCATCATCATCGAATGTAACACCTTTGTTTTTATCTTTAATTAATAAACTATCAATAGTTGTTGGTGAAACAGGTTCTTCAGATTCAATTAATTCTCGAGTATCAAGTATTTCTTCTTCAGTTTCAGTTTTAGATGGATGTGAATATGTTGCTAAATGTATTGAACTTGTACGATAACATTTGGCACCAAAAGCACAAGGTGGTTTTATTTTCGATTCATTCTCTGTTATTTTAGACGGTTTTGTTGATGATGGATGTTGATATTGTTTAAAATGATCAGGATTTGTTCGATAACAATTTTCACCAAATTGACACATTTTACGTGTATCTGTAGTTTTTGATGATGATGTTGGTGGTGGTGTTGTTGCTTCATCATCATCATCATCAGATGTAACAATTTTTTTTCCACTAGTAACATCACGTGATGGTACAACAGAAAATAATATTGAATGTTGTTTTGATAATTTAGCTGATGGTATTACTTTTTGTATTACACTCATAGGTTTTTTTGTTTTCGCTGCTTCGAGTACATCATCCCATGTTAAATCTGTACGAACTCGAAGAAAAACAGGAAATCTTGGATGACCATTATTAGATAATTCTTGAAATTTAAATGTTATAACTGAACCCTTTTTAGGTGGTTTTCGACGTTGATCCATATTAAGTCCACTACCAACATCAAATCGTTTTCCATTAGGTAATTCACATTCAAGTGCACCAACCATTCCTGTTAAACTTTTACTAGCTTTATGACCAACGACAAGTGCTTCTAAAAATGATAAATAATTGATTTTTATTGTTGTAAAAATATTATTGTTATTTACCTTCATCATAAAAAGTTTTCACTTTGAGTAATGTCGTTGAACGTTTATGTTCATAAAGACTACCTGGTTTACGAAGCATAATACCTTCTCCACCAGCTTTATTTACATCAGCTAAAAATTGTTTGAGTTGTGCTAAACCTTCACATTTTTTAATGCCAACAACAGTAGCAAAACATTTATCATCATCTTGAGGAATATTAGCTTGTAACCATTTAACACGATCTTCATATTTTCCACCTTGAGTTGGTGCATCAAAAATTAAATATGTCAAAAGTTTATAATCATCTGGAACAACTTTAGCTGCTTGTTTTTTAACAATACTAACACATTTTTGAAATAAACCACGACCACACCTAGACAGTAATGAAAAAAAAAAAAAAAACAATAACCTACTAAAACAATTAAAAGAAAAAAAAAATTCGTACCAAATTTCTCCGTCAAGTGGTACTTTTGGTAGAGCAGCTTTGAAAAAATCAGGAGCATGAAAAAGATTTCCTTGACGTGAATAAAAATTTTTTCCATTCCAATATGCTCTAAAATATATTAATATAAAAAAAAAAAATAGAATAAATAAGATTTTTTTTTTCTCATACCGAACACCATCAAGTTTTTCACTCATCCACCATCCAGTTGGATCAATATCTTCTGACCATGTTTCAGCAAGAAGTACTTTTGCAGCGTCACTACACATTATTAGTAAAATTATTCAAGATTTTATTTTGTTATGGTAAAAACTACTGAAAAATTGTGTATATATATACCTTTTTTTTTGTTGATGAATTCACCTTAGTTATTCTTACATTTTGATTGTGCAAGTACAACCACAAAGACAAAATACAGAACACAAAAAACGCCTACTATCACCTTGAAAAGAAAAAGAACAAAAAAAAAAAAAGACCATGAGGACTGAAATATATGTTCGTAGAAAAGAAAAAATTATTTTTTTTTTTTTTTATTAATCGATCAAAATCGAGCATACTATTTTTTGTTGGTTTTATTTTCAATGTACAACAATGATCAAGATAATCGTCCTTTATTCAATATTAATCAAACAGATCATGATAGAAAACATGCAAAACAATCGTCTACTGATTTATATACAAAAGTAAAAAGTAAATCGTTCAATGACCTTGTCATTTTGAATTGAGTGAGAAACATATTTTATATGCTTAATAAACTACTATTTCATATGAATGTTTTGTTTTTTTAATGTGTTCTCTATAGACAGAGAGAGAGATAGAGAAGTATCATAATCAATGATCATTATTGATATGATATCGAAACGATTGAATAGGGATGTGTATCAAACAGCAAGTATGTGAATATTTTCTTTCTAACAAAGATTTTTTTTTTTTAGTGTTAAATTTAAATAAAATATTGTTTTATTTCACGATATGATTCGATATAGATATTTATATTAGTTTTTCTATTGTAACGTGTAGTGTATAAGTTAATTTGTCTTTCAGAATATAATAAATGTAGTCAATACATCTTAGATGAAATTTTTATGATTATTTTATTTTAAAAACACAATTCAATAGTTTTCAGTTAGTTTACATTGATTATATTGTATTAAACATAAAAACAAAAGGACTCATGGATATCAAACTTTGTTAAGGTGATTTTCATAACCAGTCTTTGTTTTATGAATGAAAAAAAAATCATAGAAGAAATTCATTAATTATTCAGTGTTTGATTAGATTGTCTCAAAAAACAAAAATATCAAATTCATCTAGATCATATTTAACAAAACAAAAAAAAAGACCAAAACTTCTATAGATACAAGTTTTGTTAGTAGGATATTTCATATAGACTTTTTAATCAACAAAAAAAAACAATAATATTTCGTAGACTAGAATCTATTGCAAAAAAAAATTCGTTTCTATTAAGAAGAAAAAGAACATTTCCCCAGGGCGTGGCGGCTACCGCTTTGTCAGTTCCTCTCCCTCAATCCTCCATTGAAAAAATAATTAAAACGTAATTCCTACTGTGACACCTAACGGGTACATAACACGAAAGAAGAAATTATTCAATCGCTTTAAGAAAAAAAAATCACTATTTATAGAACAAATATTATTATTAAAATATGTTTGTTCTAGGCTTTTTTAACCTCGAAAATAATGTTACTCGATCGCAAAGTGAATAGAAATTTTTTTTTTAAAGCTACGACACAAAACTTATAGTTCACATTCTACATCACAGCTGACGAGTTAAGTTTTATAAAGAACGTTAACAACAAGTTTTTTCATCACACGATATTTTATTCCTAGTTTTTATGCCATTTTAATACAGTTCTACAAGATAGTAAAAAAAAAATCTAAACTTAAAGTTCCCAAGACAGCATCCAAGAAATTCGAGGTTACGACAACCTTTGCTCTACTTATCGAAACCTAACCATCCCGAAAGTTTCAAATATTTCTGAAGATTCGTTTTCCAGAAATCTAGGAGCCGCGGAGAAGTACTCTTAAACTAACGTGACTCGAGATCGAGTCACGATTCGAACTCATCCAACACTGGCATGTTAATTTTATGAAACATCTATAGATTAATATTTTGAGAGATCGTAGATACAAAAAAGAAAAAAAAACAATCATCCTCTACAATTACCCAAGTTATATGATTAAATAAAAAAAGAAAAGAAATCGAATTCTAGATAACATGAATATAATCATCATAAAATGTCAAACATGAAGGTTGTATGAAACGTTATCATAGATAGAATTGAAAAAAAAAAACCTCAACGAATGATGATGATGACATACGTTAAACTACTTAAAGATGAAACCTATTGTTTATATGATTTCTCCACTTAATGAATCCTCTGAATGTGAGTAAATGTAAATTAAATTCGATTTAAATTTATAAGTTTTATTTATCTTTTCATTGTCTTTACTAATCATTTTGAATAAAGTAAAAAAATAAACAAAACAAATACTAGTGAATAGATATATGATGTTCTCAATTGATTGTGATCATTGTTATTTTGAATCTGATATGTTTTTTCCTTCAGCTCCAAAAAAACGATATGTTCTTGAAAAATTTCCATCAGAAATACGACATACACCAGAATATAATACATTACAATATACATTTCGACCAATAACACCACCAAAATTAAATCAACAACAACAACATCAACATCAAAATAGATATATTGATACATATAAACCATCAAAAATATATTATTCTGATAACGAACAAAAACCAATTAATTTATCAACAAAAGATAAACAACAAAATTTATCTTCTTTTCAAAGAAATATTGGTAAATATTATTTAATTGATATAATAAAAGAATATTAGAATAAAAAAAAGTCTTGTTATTAGTTAATAAAAGTCAGATGACTTTTTCAATTAAAATAAAAATATTTTTAGACTATAGAGTTTTAGCAACAATTTTTTTATGAATAAATTTTTCAATCCAAGTAATAATTTTATTTAATACTCTCAAATTTATTTTTGATATTTCTATTTGAATTATAATACATAGTTGACTAGAAATGTTTATAAGTATCAAATTACTCTTGAATCGAGTCTATGTAAATCATGTAGGTTTTCAAAAAATGTTCTAACTATTAGCTTATCGCTGCTCGATTTTTCGCTCGGGAAAACTTTATTCCTATCCTAAGATACGACTTAGGTTCTTTTTACGTTGCTTATTTTTACATCGGCAGATTCTAATGTTCTTATTTCAGAATAGAAACTATGGAGCACTATGCTAAAAAATACAATATTTCGACTGATAGCCGCAAACCATTTTCAAGATATTCATAGTTTATTAGACCCTTTATAATGCATATAAAATTAATTTGACATTAGTGATTTTCAAGGTTTATTTTTCTGTTTCGTAATTTATTAGTTTTCTATATGCAAATAGTTTTAGATGAAAATATGAATTTAAATTCCAGAAATAAAAGTAAGTCCCAGCGACTTGTCTCTTATTTACTTGCATATATTAGAATAGGCAAATATCAGAGTTTCATGATATTTTTTTTTCTCTTGCTCTTTCCTCTTGTGAATAAGAAAGAAAAAGAAACAAACTAAGAAATTACGTTTCCTAAAGATAAGACGATGAGAGGAAGAAAAAAAAGTTGCACTTATTCTTGTTTGAAACATTTTATTTGCTCCATCTATTTAATATTAATATAGAAAAAAAGGACTTAGTAGTAGCTAGGTAGGCGTTAAAAAAAAATTGTTTTTTTTAATTAAAATTATGTGTGTATATTTCTTGTTTTTTTTTTTTTGTTGCTTAGAATCATCTCCAAATAGTGAAATAGGAATTGTCATGGATAAATTAGGTGGTGATACAAAAGAAAATAAAGATTTAGAAGCTGGAATACAACCAAAAAAATCTAGACGACGTCGTTTATTAAATAATCTATTGGATTTTTTAGCAATAGCTGCTAGTATGTAAACAAATAATAATAATAATGAATAGATCGTTTTTATTTTTATTTTAATTTCTTATTATTTTCTAGCATGTCTTAT